GAGGAGGGGGGGGAAGGGGGAAATGGAAGACATCTGTAATACTATCAACAATACAAACTATGTTTTAAAAATTCTTTACAGATTTGGGCGTTTCTTATGTGGACAGTATGCAGTGCCCTGCACATAGTGATTCCTCAGTAAAGGTAGTGGGAAGTGGCTCTGGCCAGTGTGGCTCAGTTGGTTGAGCATTGTCCCATGCACCAAAGGTCACTGGTTCGATTCCCGGTCAGGGCTTATGCCCAGGTTGCTGGCCCAGGTTCGGGGCATGGAGAAGGCAGCCGATTGATGTTTCTTTCTCTCACTTTCTCTCTCTCCCGTCCTCTCTCTCTCTAAGATCAATAAAAAACATTTTTTTAAAAGGTAGTGGGAAGCTACAGATATATAAGCAGGATTCATAGTAAATGAACAGAAATTAGGGAACATGTGTCTGTGGGTTGGGAAGGGAGGACGGCTGCTCTAAGATGAATGTTGGCTGCCAAAGGCAAGGGCAGGGGGACTGAAGTGAAGATGTGGGGACCCCGGGCGATGAAGTCATCTTTCCCAAAGTCCGGGAGTCATCTGTTCATCTGAGGACCCAGCTTTGCAGCGTCGAGTCCTGCCTTGTCCAGGCCCAACTCCACTAGGTCCACAAGGACCCCCCCAGATTGCCCAGGACAGCCACTCAATTACAACTTTATATTTTAAGATCTGGAGGGAAATCTTGGATATCATTAAATCCCACTGTGTCATTGTATCAGTGACAGAACTGAGGCCTGGAGAGAAACTAGCCCGAGGTCATCGCCCTAGTCCTGCCTCTGCCACTAAAATGCTGTGAGGCCTTGGGCAAGTCACCTCCCCTCTCTGAACCTGCAGTTTCCTACCTGTAGAATGAGGGGCTTGCAGTATTTAGAGATCGAAGTTCCCTTCAACTCTGACCTCTGCCCTATTAAAAATAATGACTCCTTCTACCACTCAAGTTTTGGCATTAGATTTCTCACTGCCCCCCACGCTCATATCACACAGAAAAATCAAGAAAGAACACGTTTGGGTAACTTTCGAGCTCATTTAATTTTAACCAAGTGCAAGTTTTCACCAGGGATGAGGGCAGGCAGAGCGGGGTCGGGCAGAAGCCGTGGCTGGTGGCGCCTGCCGGGTGTGCCCCTGTGATCGGCCAGGGCTGCAGGGCTCCTGAGAGCGGGCAGCGCTGCGGGGATAAGTGAGGCCAGCGATCGCACCTTACATGGCCATCCCGGGATTACGCAGACGCTGGCGGACTTGGAGCAAGTGCCCGTCACCTGCTGCCGCCACAAGTGTGCTTGGGCTTTGGCAGCCTGGTCTTGTGACTGAGGAATTTTTAAATGGAGGCTCTGAACTCACAGAGATGAAAATGTCTCTCTGATGTCACACACTTGCTGCCAATTCATCAGCTCCAGCTAAAGGTCAGGGAGGGGGAAGCCACGGCTCCAGGGTCCTGCTGCCCCCTCCGCTGGGGCTTCCCTTCCAGCAGGCTGCGCGCCAGCCCTGGAGCCGGAGCCGGGGTGGAGCCAGGCCGAGGCCGAGAGCATTTCCAGGGCACGCACCCCGAGGCTCCTGACACCGCGAGCTGCCCCTGCCTCTGCGGTCTCAGCACATTAACCGGTCCATCCTCCCAGCCCCTCCCGACTCGGCTCTTCCGTGGACAGCCAGGCCTCCCTGGAACCTGGATATAAGGCTCCTTCCCTAGCATCACTTCAGGAATAAAACGAAATTGAATAGATTTCCTTTTGGTGTTTTAATAACTGAATGCAATGGTCACAGAGCAAAGGCTAGAAGTGCACTGCCTGGAGTGACAGCCTGCCTCCTGGCCCGGAAGGTGAGGACAGGAGAGTCCTTACCTCACCGTGTTTTCCTGAGGGTTCAGTGGGCAGCACAGAGAGCCCGGCATGTCCCGGTGTCCATACGTGGCAGTTCGGAACCATCCCTCACAACTGTAACTGGGCAAGTTACTTAATCCTCGAGTCTTAATCCTCACCCGTGCAATGGAGGCAGACACTTGTACCTGAAGGGCCGCTGTGAGGAGTCAGTGAGAAGGAATAGAAATCCACTAACGCAGCACCCAGCACTGGAAGAATAAATGCCGGCCACCAGGACAGTCCTCTCCTCAGTCAACTGTGGCCTGGAGGGAAGGCCGATGCGTTCATTATAAAACACCTGGAGTCCTCGGCCCTCTGCACCTCACAGTCAGGGTTAAAGAGGAGACGTAAGGAAAGGTGTGTGTGGTCAACATGGACACAGAAAGAACATTTTAAAAATTAGTTTTAGAGTTTTTTCCCTCTTTGGGGGACTGTTTTCAATTCTGGCCTCCGGTTCTAGGGAGGAGAGAGGGAGAAAAGGAAGTTACATGGGCAAGAGAGAAAGGACTGACTGTGGTGACTGCAAGGAGACAAAGATGGAAGGTGAAGTGACGTCAAGGAGGAGGAGGAAGCTGAAATTCCTGAGGACTGAGAGAGCCAGGGCCTCCCCAAACTTGGAAAGGACCACAGACTAGTCCTCTACCTCAGATGAAAGGAACAGACCTGGGAAGACAATGGTCAGAGTGGCTCCGTGCCTGCCCCTCACTGCCTGTGGGGCTCCCTCTTGGGCACCCTCAGTGCCCCCCAAACACGCACTCCTGCAGCTGGTGACTGAATGCCACCCCTCCCACCAGTCTGCTCTCAGCCCTGCCTCTTCTTCCTCCCTGCGCCCCCCCCCCCTCCCCCGCACTTCTGCACAGGGAAGTTCTACAGAAGCTCAGAGAAGGTGAAAGGTGAGCCTTTTCTTCTGGGCTCCTCTCCTTCCCTCCTCCTCCCCCAGCAGGTGAGCGCTGGTGTGAAACACCTCATCCCCTGGGTTCACCCTCCTCAGCCTCTCCTCCTGCCCTCAAGACAGAGGTGTACGAGGATCCTGGTTTTATCTTTCCAGGGGGCTTTAATATTTTAATGACAAGATCTAGAGATTCCACATAAATATATCATATTCTGTGAACATTTCTTTCTTTCTTTCTTTGTTTTTTTAATCCTCACCTGAGGATATTTTCTCATTGATTTTTAGACAGAATGTAGGGAGGGAGATTAAGAAACATCGATGTGAGAGAGACACATGGACGGGTTGCCTCCCCCACGCACCCCGGACCAGGGCCAGAATCAAGCTGGCAACCAAGGTACATGCCCTTGACCAGAATCCAACCCAGGACCCTTCAGTCCGTGGGCCGACACTCCAATCACTGAGCCAAACCAGCCAGGGAGGGTGAACATCGCTTGAGCCTTGCCTACTTGCAGGCACTGCGCTCGGTCCTTCTACTTCCTCCTGTGGGCTGAGAGCGCGGGGCAGGCACAGCCTCCTAGATGCTTCAGGTGGCGGCCTTGGGGCCTCACAGCGCCTGACTCTCCATACCCTCCTGCCCTCACATCCAGGCAACAACCAGGCACAGGGAGACTTTTCTTCTGTCTCCCAGGCATGCTTCTCCCTTCCTGTTCCCACCTCTGCCCTTGCTTGTCACTTGTGCCTCAATCCCAAAAGCCCGTGCCTCCAACCTCCCCTTCCTCCAACCCATCCTGCACAACCGCCTCATCTTAAAGCCCTCCTCCTCACATCATCGCCCCCAGCTGCAGGCCCTTCCGTGGTTCCCCCCTATTTCATTCGAGGTCTCCCAGACCCGGCCTTAACTCTCCAGAAAGCGAGAGATTCATAGAGCCTGCTTTCCCCGTGAAGGAGTTTCTAAGAGGGAAGGAGCAGGCCCGGGGTGCCCATGTGACCAGAGGGCTGTGCACACGGAACTCTCTGGTGCAATGTGGCT